GTTCGGTCCCCCTATCCCTGGTAAAGGATATGAGGTGGAACTTGTGGAGGATGAGTCAGGTATAGGTCCAGATAAGGAGTACCTTGTGAAGTTCTTGTACCAGCCGCGTATTGAGGATCGCCGGTTTACTCGCAAGGAACTTCTGAAGACTGCAAAGTCTGTTATCCTCAAATATGAGGCCGCACAGAAGGGAGTATCCCTTCGGCGCTCTGCACGCCTACGCCCCTAGCTCGAAGGTCCTCGCTCCGGGGGAGGGTAGGTCTGCAATGACTTGCTGTTTTCTGGTCGCCTGTACCATAGGTAGGGTAGATTTGTAATTTTGTTTAGCTGAGGGCAAACCGAGAAACCTACCTTTGTGAGGGACATACCTACAAATTTGGGAAAATAGAGGCCCAACACTAACTGAATTTCCTACAGCTACCCTAACTGCGTTTAGCAGGCCCGGGCTACCCTAGGACAGACAGGCCCTAAGCGCCTATGCTGATAGACGGTCCTATAGCCTATAGCCGGGTACGGTAGAGGCTGAGAGGCCGAACTGATACGATACCGGTCGGTCAGTTAGTCCGGTCTGGGTCGATTCTAGGCTAGCTTAGTCTATAGATAGGATGGGCACATCGGTTCAGGGCTTTTGGCAGTTGGTACCGATTACATCGCTGCTGTGCTACGGGTGAACCGGAAGTGGTGACGGCTTAGCGTGGAAGGAGACATGCATAGCCAGACCTTCGGAGCGCCGGCCATAGCTGGGACCTGCGCTGTACTCTGCCAGCACGCAAGGGCTGACAGAGGTTTGGGCTGCCCTGCTGGACCCTCCTCCAGAGTGGGGTTCCAGGGTGGTGGCGCTGCAGCCATAGCTGCAGCTTCTCCCTCAGAGGTCACCTTGTCAGGGTTTGGTGGCACTGCTGCAGACTTCCATCCGGGAAGTCTTCCGCCACTTCGTCATCATCAGATACTGTGGCGCTGGTCTTCTTCTTCATCCTCTGAGTGGTGCTTGGCCTCAGAGGCCTGTTTCAGAGTAGCGCTTCCCTTTGGAGGTTGTATCTGGGTGGCGCTTGATGTTTTAGGGGCTCAGGGTGTTACGAGTGGTTACTCAGGGTTGGGGAGTGAAGCGCTGCTCATTTCTGAGCAGCACACCGTAGTACTGAGGTTATCCTGACAATTCGAGACTCCGAGTTTAATAAACCAGTGTGTAACTGGGTTTGGAGTATCATCGTTTCATTGTTTTCCTTGATGTGATCTGCTCGGCTTTTCTTTATGACTGGTTGTGAGGATTGAGTGGAGTGAATTGCACTTTCAGTGTACCCTGTCATATCGCATGGTCAAGTCTTCCGATGTGTTTCTCTCTCCCCGTGCGGTGTGATACTCCTATCCTCTCCCCTTCCTTCTGTGTGTATGGGCATACCTGGAAGTCTATGTGTGCGAGTGTTGGTCTCAGACAACAAACAACCAGAATCATAACACAGGGGTAGGCCCCAGCAACAGTATAAAGTCAGATTTGCTTGGAAGATCGCTGGTTTACTAGAGATGAGCTGGTAGAAACAGCGTCACTCATAGTGTCTTATTATGAGAGAGCTAGGAGGGGCATTAACATAATTGACAGATAAAGTTTGTAACTTTCTCGGAGCACCTCGAAATCAGGTCGGCGAGATTGAAAGGCATTTCACGTTGCACACCCCAAATTCAAATCTCAGGGTCAAAAGTCCCCAAGCCGAAAGAGGCCAGGTCGGCCAGATTCAGATGGGTTAAGTCGGGTACAAGTCCAACCGGTACCCAGTCAAAAGTCACATCCCACAAGCAAAAGTCACGTTTCACAGTCAAAGGTCACATCCCATAGGCAAGAGTCTAGACCCAGAGTCAAAGGCCACATCCCAAAGGCCAAAAAGCAGCAGCACACCAAGGAAAACTCAGGGAGGTACCGGGCCTCAACATTCCGGAAGCAAATAGGCCGCGGGCAGCCGGTACCGGATCCAAGTCAAACCAAGAGAAGCAGAGGCTGGGACAAGTAAAGGTCCAGTCCAAGTCAATATAGGGACTGGCTGAGCGCTTGTGCACTATCTGCGAGTTGGCATGCACTAGAGCCCTGGCTGGGCAGCGCTGCGCTATGGAAGGAAGGCGGCCATAGCCACACAACTTAGTAGTAGGAGGTAGAGCTGAGTAGCAGGCGGATATATCTAGAGTCAAGATCTTCATGTAGAGAGAGAGAGAGGGAGAGAGAGAGGACATATGCATGAAGGAACTGAGAGAGAAGTGAGATAGAGAGAGAGAGGGAGTTAGCTACCTTGGATGACGTTGATGGATATGGGTGGAATTTCTAAGCTGCACTAATCTGGACTTTGCATCTCTGGTCTCCAGTGTGGATTTCCTGTGATATCTCATTGTGTAAGTGCTTGAGGTGAAGAACATTTATCTTCACTAAGTTGATGGAGAAATATAAGCAACACTTCAGGGAAGTGATGATCATCTTAATGTTATGTGCCTGATTGAAACAAGATACAGCATGGGATTCACACACAATGAAAAGAGATACACACCACATGGAATGAGAGAATACACAGTGGAAGCACTCAAATACCAAAAGTAGAATTGGAATTCAAATCCAATTCTAATTAACCCTCTTGTCTCCAGTCAATCAAACACCGTTTCCAATAATCCCAACAGCATGGCATTCACACGCAATGACAACAGATCTTGGAAAGAGCAACTCACACCACACTGAATGAGGGAATACACAGTGGAAGCACCCAAATACCAAAAGTAGAATTGGAATTCAAATCCAATTCTTGAAACGGTTTTCACCTGCTAGCAGTAGCAAATGCAGATCCCAGGGCTCGATCCCTAGTTCTGCCCTTACCTGTGTACAGTATCGAGTTGACCCCTGAGTGTTTGAACCCGTGACCTGTGTTTTGTTAGTTGTTGTTTGTCTGCCGTAGGACTGTGCAGATGTAGGGATTCGATCTGTAGGTCTGTCGAGTAGGGGTCACAGCTCTGTAGAGGTCGTAGCTATAGGTCTACTGAAAGGTCAAGGTCGTAGCTGCTACAGCCCTGAAAGGTCAAGGTTGTAGCTGCTACAGTACTCAAAAGGCCAAGTTCACAGACTTTCGGAAGGTCCCGGAAGTGGCCTTTCGGAGTGGGCTCACGTTTAGGCAGAGGCAAGTGGGCAAGTGGTGGAGCCAACCTCAGTACATTGGCAGTGTGACTGCAGTGAGTCTGTGGTGCAAACCGATGCAGTCAGCGGATCCGGTCCAGTCAGTCCCAGTCCAGTCCAGCAAGTACCATGAGGGACTGTGTGCACCATGGGCCAATGGAAAAGGGCAGACCAGCGAGTTACAGAAGTATAAATCAAGAGGCAACGCCCAGCCATTCATTCATTCTTGCGTAAGCCATGCGGAAGCGCTGCCATAGCGACTTGTGCGAGGTGGTCTGCAGTGAGCCCGAGGATGAAGTGGGCGAGAGGACGTTAGCCATAGTGATAGAGTAGCAGCGGTCATAACCGTCATAGCTGTAGGTGTGTGCGGGTGTGTGCGAGTGTACAGGGTGTTGCGTGTGGGATATCCAGGGTGATCTTGTGTGCGAACAGCAGCATTGAGTAAGCACCGAACAGAGAGTTGTACAGGCGATGTGCCGCCATAGCCGTTTGAAGTGAACTTGTATCCGAGCTGCGTTCTTGGTACTATATCTCTGAGTTCTGAGTGGGCGCTCGATGCCAGTTTGCTGCGCAACCTGTTTGCATGCATGTGAAGTGTGAATGAAAGCGAGTCTGATTGCACTGGTATCGGAGTTGGTACCCGCTATCCCACGCGCCACAGGGCGCCAAGTTGTAGAGCGCCGTGAAGAGGGAAGTTCGCCATAGCTGCGCTGCGGAGAAGTAACGTGTACCTGCGCACAAGACAACCACGAAGGGTGAGAGAGAGAGAGAGAGAGAGAGAGAGAGAGAGAGAGAGAGAGAGAGAGAGAGAGAGAGAGAGAGAGAGAGAGAGAGAGAACTGAGCGATATAAGATTGGTTTGCTACG